CTATAACGAACTGTGTTTATATTAGCATGGCGGACGTATTGGATTCTTCGGTAGTGCATAAAGTAATATTTCATGACTCCGTGGCGCAGTTGCCAAGGTATTGGCTTCGGCGTCGGGGGTCGTGGGTTCGATTCCCACACGGGACAACTATTTGTGCGACCCACAGATAGTTGTTTCGCATCTGGGTGTTTGTCCTCGTGCAATTTATGTTTGTAAAACGTCCTTACAACACAGGATAATGTTATCCTAAAGTGAGGGCAATGTTTTTTTTCTAAAAAAAAAAAAAAAATATACAGCGTGTCGTTACCATCGCGACAATTAATGAACATACGTCTAACGCTACTTGCCAATAATCATAAAAAAATATTAACGTTAAACAAAATCCATAATTAAATAAAAATATTTTTCTAACAAACTAATTAAGTAAAAAAGAAACAAAATTTGTAACATCCTATACAACTCGCGCCACAGCGTCGCATTACAAGCCTCTCCTTCTAACAGTATGTTTTGTCTCTTTTAAATTCATTCAACCCATTCATATGCTTTGTGACCTTTACAAATAAACTTACTTATCGTTTTGTAAAATTGTTTGTTTTGGAAAATTTAATAACTCGGTAAATATTGATGTTTGAAGAATGTAAATGTTTAATACAATTTTAAAAAGTTATCCTCTATATGTGTGTTCATTTATTGTCGCGGTGGTAACGGCATGCTGTATTTTTATAATATATTTTTTTTCTTATTTGTACAACATTGAACTAGAAGCTGTTGCATTAAAAATGTTTCGGTTTTAGATATGATTACTGCAAATAATAAATCGTTTTTACTATGGCAAGGTCACTTAGAATCCCGTTTTACCCTTTGGGTACGGAACCCTAACAAAGCGGGTGTTCACACTTGTTGGAAGTAAGACTCAATTTCATATATTCATAAGGAATATTATATATATTAATCCCAAATAGTTCAGGCGTATTCTAACTAAAGTTTAAATTCTTTCGACGCTTATATTATAAAGCCGTATTTGCTATTTACCTATGGAAATAAGATCACCTATTTCAATAAATTCATTTTAGTTTCAATAGCTCAGTGAATTTCTTAACGGTAAAAATGAATTATTAAAAAAGGAAACAATACGATTTCCCGATTTTATTTATGACTTAACTTTTTAGTTATAATGTTAACGACCTGTTGATAACAACCACAAAGAGATCACACGCAATACCACACAATTAATAGCCAGCTGCCTCCTAATGATTTTTTTCGTTCTCTATAACCTATTTTATATTTTGCACGTAAATATTAAATCAAAATCTTTTTGTGTATTCTCAAAACATAAACAATTATGGCTAAATAATGTTAGTGTAAAAAGTGTTAAGAGAAAACTGGTCTGCATAATTGAAGTTATCAAACCTTAAATTATTATGTACTGGACTTTTTAAAAAATAGGTAACGCGATTAATAATTAATAATAATAAAAACCAATATTAAATGTGAAACCAATATTAAATATTAAATGTGTTAAACCAATGTGAAAAGTTGCCAAACGAGCAGACGTTTCACCTGATGGTAAGTGAATACCGCCGCCCATGGACATCTGCTACACCCGAGGGTTACAGATGCGTTGACAACCTTTTGAAAAGTAGGCTCCGGCTACCTCACTCACCAGACGAAACGCGAAAGTGTTTGACATACTTCCACTTTACGCTAGTCTTCTGTGAGGTCGTGGTACTTACCCGGACGGGCCTGCCCATTCGTGCAACAGCTGAGACTGCTGCGTGGCCTACCACCGTGACCACCGTGACTACTTTAATGCAATAAACCGTAGAAGTCCGTAAACTAGTTGTATTTAATACAAAGCGAAAGAGAAAAACAATTTTTAATAATTGTTAAGAAATCTTCAAGAGATCTGTCTCCAAAGGTGCAAAAAGTTCTTGTGTGATTCCTCCGTCTAGCCGTCTTTCGTGCGTTGGGATCGGAAACATCAGACTCAACCAAAGATTAGATCAACCTTCAAGGAGTCCGCCTTAGGGTTGGGTCATCTCGTTTTCTTGCTAAGGTTACTATATCTGATTTCTATCTGGTGCACCTTGATCCAATAATTCTGGACTTGTCACCTCCGGTTTCAAACAGACGCGATGAAACATAGCGTCAGGTGTCCCAGCCATACTCGTAGCTATCAGAAATTAAAAACGTACGATCCTTCCAAACCCTAGCTTTAAGAAATTAAAGACGTATCATCCTGTGTTTGTTTCCCTGAGACTTTTGAAAGAGTGAATAAATAAGGACAACAACAACGTGCTTACGTATCGAGCTATCGTGGCGTAGTATTGCGATCTTCGCGCTACATTGCGCCCGATAAAAACAAATTCCACTCCAAACGCGCCCGCTGAAACGTAACAATGGAGGTTTTTTCCCGCTCAATTCCGTCGGGGCCTCTTTCGCTTGCGGGAAACAATGTGTCGGTGGCGTTTACACGTAACCAGGAATGGCGACGCCAAAGCTAACGGGTACCATATGAAAATATGACCGTGCAAAGTCATACAAGACATACATTGATATCGAGACGGAACAAAACCGAAAATTTACAAATAAATATTTTTGTGGATTTAATCTCCGAGTTTAAGATGAAACGTTAAAATTTTTAGATGAAAAATGAAAAGAAGAAAACGGGTTCATAGACTAGCAATAGTTTGAAGTGTTCTTGCTAGATGCAAGATGATGAGGGTGGGTACAAATCCCACAAATAACTCTGTCATGTGAGTGGTAACAGGGTATCTTTTGATGATTTTTCACGGTGGTAGGGCCACGCAGCAGCCTTGTCTGTGGCACGAATGAGCTGGCTGGTCCGGGTAAGTACCACGATCTCACAGAAGACGGGCGTAAAGTGGAAGTATAATACTTTCGCGTTTCGTGTGGTGAGTGAGGTGGCCGGTGCCCAATTTTCAAAAGGATGTCAACGCATCTGGAACCCTCGGGTGTATCAGACGTCCATGCCACCTAACATCAGATGAACCGTCTGCTCGTTTGGCAGCCCCCCAACTTTTGATATACCCCCCTCCCCCCGCTCCCCCTAAAAAAAGGGAGCTAGAGAGATTTGTAAAAATGTGTCCTGAAATATTTAATAATTTACTATTTATTTATTCCCTTCGTTACATTGCGGTATTTCCCCGGGAAAGCCCGCCCGTTCGTGCAACGGAAGAAGCTGTTTCTAGTCCCAACCGCAGAGAGCAAAGGAGATCATTGAACTATCATTAGGTCCACATGAAAACCATTAAGGAAACTCATTAAGTAGTCAATGTCTTTTAATTTAGTAAGCAAGCAATTTTCAGTTTTGTATAAAGCGGTTGGAGTACCGTTGAAACATTAATGAGGCGAATTCCCGACCGAAGTCTCACCGGGTTATCTTTCGGCTATAAACAAAAGCGAAACAAAAACGGTTAGTTACATTACCCGTGGCGGGGCTTACGATAGAGAGGCGAGGAAACTATAAGAGGAATACTAATTTAAATTTCAAAACCAATACGTTAGAGTAGATCATTTTCAGGGTAAAACGGAACCCTATTACTAAGACTACGACGCGCACGAGGGTTCCGTACCATTATCTATAAAAACGGCAAAAAGAATCATGTCCGTTGTACGGGAGCCCCACTTAAACATTTTTTTTAATTCTGTTTTTTAGTATTTGTTGTTACAGTGGCAACAGAAATACATCATCTGTGAAATTTTCAACTGTCTAACTATCACTGTTCAGAGCATACAGCCTGGTGACAGGCGGACAGACAGACAGACAGATAGCGGAGTCTTAGTAATAGCGTCGCGTTTTACCCTTTGGGTGTGCAAACCTAAAAATGGAACACTCAACCACTGCTGAAATCACATAGCACCGATAAAACTTCGATAAATTCAGATTAACGATGGGACGTTCGCTGATTAAAACTGAAATATTTGCACAACGACAGTACAGTGCGAATGTAGTTTATCGACAATTTAAAACAATTATCTCCTGATTGCACAACCGCAAAGTACTGACAATTGATTTACACGTGTATCATTAAAATAACAAATTGAAACTGACCGTACCATCAAAAGTTTAACGTATTGAATCGAGCGAACCACTTGACGGCACAATCGATTCATTACTGAATCATTAAAGTCGGTTAAAATGGAAAATTTGATTTTGTAAAATTAATAAACTTACGCAATCCCTATTACACTCTTAAGTGATTGGCAATTAGGCCAATAATATTGAATACGTGCAAATTAATACATAAATACTACCGTTAAATACTAGTTACTGTATCTCGACTTTTACCGAGTCCCGTCCGTTTCACGGTCTTGTGCTGCTACACAGACCGTCACATGTTGTTGTTATTTTGTTTGCTTATTTTTATGTTTACATTTATTTTAAGTTTCTGTGTAGTTACATTATTATTTTTAAGTTTTGTAAAGTAAGGTAAACGGTATGTAAGAGTCGAATTGTTATATCGATTTAATTGCTAACTTTTGTGGTTCTTCGGCATCCGTGAGAATTTTTTATGAATTATGCGTCACAAGCAAATTCTCTAAGACGCGTTTACGAATTCACGTTAATTCCAATTTACGAATTCACGAAAATTTGTTTCTGCCTATCACTTTATAATGCAAAATATTGAGATATGAACATTGCGTTTCTCTATTGTTTGTTCGTGTTTTTATATCTATCTACCACATGTATTTATTTACAAAAGAATAAGATGTTAAAGTATTTTTGTTGTCAATAGTACAAACTTTGCTTAGTAAGAATTTTAGGATCAAATAACGTTGTGTAAAAATATGCCTTGAAATATTTATATTATTCCAGTTATTAATGTACATATCTCTTCATTGTCAGCATAAGGTATGTTACAACTTTAATTAAATTGACTCGGTTACTTCAAATTTTAACTTGTTTGTTAGTGTGCAAATTGATAAAGTTTTAGAAATTTGGTTCAGAGCTGACGGTGGCAGTCGACGGTTCCTACCTTTCCATGGTGAGTGGAGTTATCTTGACGCACTTCCGCCACTTCAGGAGTCTCCGTGGATATGTCGTGACCGTGCCTATGAGCACAGCGTCCGGGTATCTGAAACAATAAGACAATATTATAAATAGGAATATCGCTGTAAATAATGACGGATGGGATGTATCAGCAGATTAAGATTTGTGTAAAATATAATTGACGGAAGAATAGGAAGAGGAAGAAGACCAAAGAAGAGAAAGAAATATGGACAGACATCTGTGACGGCGTCAGTCTTTGCAGACTGGCGCAGAAAAGAGAAGAGTTCCGTGTGGTGGTCGCTGACATCCAATAGGAACCCAAGAAGAAGAAGTAGATAGTGTTTAGTTTGAATTCTTAAAATAAAATGCTCATGGTTCTGATTCATTTTTATTAAAAACTGTCTTTTAATAAACTATTACTCTTATTTTATTGGTATATATACGTTGAAGCTTCCTATTTCACGTATAAAGTAACAGCCCATATGTGTCCCAGTGTTGGGACCACGCGACTCTACTGCAGATTGGCAGACTTAACATATCTACCAAATATTGTTTTGTTATTATTTCGAGAAAATACACGTTACCACACGACGTTTTCCTTCGTCAATATTAACGTGATAAGTCAGCGCTTAAGATAAACGAAAATTCGTGGTCCATGGGCGGCGGTTACCACTTAAAATCAGGTGAACCAGCCAGCTCGTTTGCCACATAAAAAAAATTTTGAAACCGGGTTTTGAACTCTGGTTGCTCGAGTGTATTGAATTAAAAGCAAGCGCCCGGACACTGACAGCTTTCAACGGCTTTCACGTATTTCCGCCTCGGCTACGCACGGGTTTAATGTATTTTAGATACAAACCTTTCTCTTGAATCACTCTATCTAGTAAAATAAAAACCACATCAAGATCCGTTATTCATTTTTTTAAAATAAACAGTTTGAAATGCATATATTACAAATACAATATAAGAAATCTTATTAAAAGAGAAACTGCAAGCAAGATTTTAGCGACCTTAGACCGTGACATTCTCTTATGTCCTTTGAACGACATTATTTGATCGAATTTGACGACGAAAATGTGCAATAAACGGATATGGACGCAATAAAGATTTGCGCAACTGTTGCACAAGTTCTCAATTAAATTGTCATTCAAGTAGCGCTAAGCCCGAATAAGTTTCTGCACCCACAAGGCAGCACCTTTAAAATTGCAAATCCTCTGCGGGAATACTATGTGGATTATACCTAAAATGTGTCGTTTATTAATGTGTTTAGTATTGCTAGCGGCCCGCCCCGGCTTCGCACGGGTGCAATGTATTATACGTATCGCATCAAGATCCGTTGCGTAGTTTTAACGATCTGGACATAGGGATAGACAGACAGCGCGACTTTGTTTTATACTATGCTATGTAGTGATGATGTTATGAAAGAGTTATTTCTAAGGTCTTTACCATTATGAATTGCGTTAATAAAAACGTACATTTTTTTTGACAATAATACAATTAACATACACCCTTTACGAATGAAAATAAAAAAAATATTGGCAACGTTTACTTCCGCTTAAAAATGGCGAGTAATAAGCTTGTCAGAAGCAGAGCAACGTTATACGTGCTCCGGAAATGATGCCATGTTATCTTTAATTCACCAGCAATTTCTAAGTATGCAATGTTTGGAATTTCGCATTACGAGTGATCCTTATTACTTACTCTTCCGATCATTTTAATGTTTTAGCATTTCTGTTTTTCTTATAATTGTCAACTGGTGCTGTATGGAGGGATCTAGGGAGAGATAAGTTGGTATTTATTTCAGGATTAATTTCTTTTTAGTGCTAGTCTCTGCTATGAAGATGAAAATATTAAAAAACCAAAGAACATTCAACGTATTAATATGTTTTTAAAAAAAGTTCCATGTCTTTATGAAATTAACAGTTCCAAAAGGAGTAAACATCAATAACAGTTCTTGTATTGTTATGCATTAAGGGTTATATTCCAACTGCAGTGAATTATTAAAGTATTATTAAGTATTGCACACTAGGTACAGTCAATGTCATATCTGCTGATATGACATTGACTATCTGGCATTGACTAATGGGCAGTACTACTTGATATTTATCTCATAAAAACAATTCAAAAATTTTTATTGACTTTTTCAAAAGCCCTCTCCCATTAAGCAACTAAGAACGTATACGAAGAAACCTGTACCTTCCACGTCATCCTAAATTTCCAGGCTTAATGCAGTCAAAAAATTTCACCGACCCTCCGTACCAGGGGAGCATAACTAACGTACACAGCGAGGCCTTTATCTAATGTAGCGCAGGAAATTCAGTGGGCCGAGTAATGCGGCGTCCGCGACCCGACCGCGGACGGGCGGTGCGAGTGATAAGCGGAAGCGATTTTGTCCGCAACAACATGCATTAGTCAGATTGCACGAGTTGCCTTTGTAATGGCTGTATCAATGGGCTCTGGTCAGTCCGTTCCAATTTTGGGATTGCCGATTTATATAGACATCTCCGTCATTGTTTGTGCTTCGGCCAAAACTGAAATTCTGACGCGAATCTGATTGTGTCAGAGCTTGCCCATGATATCAAGTAGTGTGTAGTTTGTTTGTAAGTAAGTCATCACTTATAAATAGTTTAAAGTCCTTGGTAAGCCTACCGAAAATCTTTGAAGTTTAAACTCTCTTTTTAACAAAATTAAAATATGATGAAAAGAATGATTTACATATTACGTAAATCATTTAGTTTTATATATATAAACGATTCGGTTAACAATATTTCACGTCATAACTAGTAAAACAAACAACTTTTCCAATGATTTACAGGTTTGTTAATTTTTGAGTTAATTTGGTATTTAGGAAGGCCAAAACGTAAATTCGTTAACAATTCGCAGAGAAATAATTAAATGGTTCTTATTAATTTTAGATATTATTTAATTAAATATTACATATAATAAATAAAAGCTAACGGATTCTTCGATATACCCTTAGACCACTGCTTCCCAAGTTTACTTAAGTATCGCCAATGTTTTCTATGTACTGTATTTTCTCTTCCATAACATAAAAAGAGTAACATTATAAAGAATAACAGGTTATGGCAGCAGTGTTGGGACAATTATGCACAAAGCTACCATTTTAATGATTCGGTTTTTTTCTTCTTTGTTGGTTATACAATTTTGGACAAATGAAGTAGTGACAAGCATCCATGCCCATTGCCCATGATACCTGCATCCATTTTAATCGGCATCTAAGTGGCTCATACGTTCGTACCCTACAGGATTAATGAAAGACCTAGTCATGTATAATTGCGATCACCAATCTCCAACTCATGGTGAGAGTCATCTATGCTGTTTTATGATGGTGATGTGTGAGGGTGTGCTTTTTTTGTTTTTTATGTGAGAAAGTGGCAAACGAGTAAATTTATAACCTCCACCCATGGACATTTGCAATACCAGTAGGGTTGAAAATGCGTTGCCACGTTGTAAAGTGGGCTCACTCACCAGACGAAACGCAGAAGTGTAACACTTCTACTTCACGCCGGTCTTCTGTGAGGTCGTGGCAATTACACGGACGGACCTGCCCATTCGTGCAGCAGTGAAAACTATTGCGTGGCCCCAGCATACCTGATTCTAGACTTGAATAGTTGTGCGCATTACAGTCATCAGGCGCACCGGAAGTGCATGCTTTGTGCTTTTAGTGACCCCTCACTAGTTGCACTTATATATTAATAATCACGACACCACGAGCACAAGCCGGAAGTCAGCCGGAACTTACCAGTTCCAGTCCGTTGTACCCAACGTTGTCATCAAGACGTGCACTATTGGCTAGACCTCAGGCTTAAAACGCTGCAATGATGGCCCTTTGTCGTTTGCTGTGCTAATATAGGTAACAAATCCAAACTATATAATATAAATCATCATCATTATCATCTTTATATTCTGTTTAAGTCCATAGTTAGACAGGCCATACCCACAGACTGCCTTGAAGCACGATCCTGAGTCACCAGCATCACATAAATAACAAAAATAAATATACAAGTATCAAGTATCAAGAAGTCAATAAGAATATACAAGAATAAGAGAAAAGGGAAAAAGTCGGTACTACTTAAAACATGAACAGTACACTAACGTGTTGAATATTAATAAATCTAAAATAGATTATAAAATCCATCCATTGTTGCTTATGACACTACATCCTGTTCCTGTTTCTCTCCCTCTCTGGCGCGATACGAGAAAGTATTGTAAGGTTTATATAAAATTTTTATCATACAGAATAAATAAAACAGTATTGGAAAAGAAGAAAGACAAGATTAAATCAATAACCCAGACACGCTTCGACCTAATAATCGTCATACAGCTCCGTAATTCGTTGCCATGGTTGCAAATCCATAGCAACGACTGTTTAGTCAATAATCTAATATTTAACTAGAGAAGTGTCCGGGTGAAGCATAATGGTTATATTTCTGGTCAAAAGGGGAGACGAAAATCAGTTCCTTTACGAAACTAACGTCGACAAGTCCGTCGATGAAGTGGTCAAAGATATTGCGGCGATATTCAACGGGAGACTTAAGGTGACACGAATTTGTTATGAGATTGAGGAGCTGATGAAGCACGGCACATTTCTGCCGTTGGAGATGCAGGGATTGACTGAAGAACAGGTAATTTTATGATCAACATCACCAGTTTTAGTCCGCTGCTAAACATAAGATCCCCATAGAGTGGCACGAACAAAGATTTTTTAAGAAAGATTTCGAAATTTGTTCCACTTTACATTAAATGCACGTGAATGTGACACATTATATAGAACGTATGATACGGAAAGAGATAACAGTCTATAGAATTGCAATCAAATTACACGAACTGGCGTATAGTGCGCTAGAGTCATATCTGCCTCCTATTTGTATGTGACTTCATTGTCTACAAGGAACGACCGGGAGGATCTTGACCATCGGCTAATGGTAACATAAAGGTAACAAGGGGCATTCTCTTAAATCATCATCCGAAAATTAAAGTAAATTTAAAAAGGAAGTCCAATCTGAATGATTAGTTCACATTATTTACATAATTCACACACATTATTTAGCATGAGTATTACTGTTGTGTGATCCCCAGACAAGTTAATCGCAGTGTCTTGTCAAGTTTAGAATAATCATTTGCTTGAATTCTGACAATTACCAGTAGTTAAGCCGCGTAGACTTAACTTTTTCTTAGATGGAGAAAAGGCAAGCGTAAATCAATTCTGAAATGGGCTAAAATATGTATACCTTCTTCAGCATCTCAATGACATTTTCGTAATGATATGGACATATTGCCATGGTGCAGCTTGTAGTTTACTACACACTAAAAGCAAATAATATATTATAATGTCTTTAGACAACAGATAAAAAGTTTATCCAACTTCAGAGTTTCTTTTAAGTCCAAGTAACGGAAAATTCTAGAATCTCGTGCTAGAATAAGAACCCGTGGCTTGAAAGCACTAATCGATATCCACGGTTGTATTCAGACAGTTTTATGACTCCGTTTCGCAGTACGTAAAAGTTCCTTATAACACAGGATAATGTTATACCACAGTAATGGCAATGTTTTTTTTTAAATTAATGAATAAAAAAAACATTTACTTACGAAAATGGGGCATTCAATCCGAAGGCATGCGCAGCCCATCCTCGTAAGAACGACGAGGAACCAATTACAGCGCACATTTTTCCAGATAAAAGAACTAAAGCTTGAGGATCCTTGGGCGAAGCGGTGCGCGCCGCAAGATTACGTCTTACAAAAGGACGAGATGGGGCGACGCTGCGGCTTAGCGCCGCCGTCTCATTTGCAACAAGTCTTGAGAAAGGCTGCTGAGACGGCAAAGGACATGATAAGCAAGAAACGGGTGTGTAAGAATTTAAAACGCGTATGTCCTCGACAACACTACAATGTACCTTTCTCGTGTAGAAGCAAACACGAAACAATATCAATAGTCTTACTCCTAACCCCAATGTTACATGTCCTTACTTGTTCTGCTATTATGTTACGTTTTATTCTTTTGTAAATATTGTAAATATTTTATATGTTTATTGAATAAATAAATAAATAAATAATAAATAATAAATATTTCTTACACAACATTCTTTAATCCCAAACTAAGCAACGCTTGTACTATGGGTACTAGAAAACTGATAAACCTACTTAAACATACTTTTCTTTTGTAAATAAATACATATTATACATATATAAACACCCAGACACTGGAAAAACACGATGTTCATCACACAATATTTTTTCGAGTAGTGGAGATCGAACCCACACCCTCTGCCGCAGGAGGTAGGGTCACTACTCCCCACGCCAATTGGGTCGTCAAAAATAATATTTACAATATTAAATACTAACTAAATTAATGGGAGCTACTTATTTTAAAGGCTGACAACGCATATACAAGCCCTCAGTTGTTATATTTTTTGTTATTATTTCGAAAATATACTAGTTTCCTCACTATGTTTTCATTCACCGCTGAGCACGTGATAAGTCAGCACTCAAACAAAAAAAGTCTATGCCAAAGTAACGTCTCCGAAGTTCAGGTAACCGTGTCAGAAGCCCGAAATAGAAATCACTAAGCCAATCACCGCTCTGATTTAGGTGGACCTTCGCGAATGCCTCACTCAAAAGGACGTAGCGAGGGCGCTTGATGAACTCCGCGGGGCAACGAAGATAGTATTCCCCGCTGGACTGCCACCGCACGATCCTGTACGCATGGAGTTGGATAATGTTGAAGATTTGACAGGAACGCAAGCGGCCAAAGAGGTCATCGACCCCTCCAGAGCCTGCATCTGGGCTTGTGGTAAGAAGTTCATCGCCGGCAATAAGCTGAGCGATCATTTGGGTAAGTTACAATTGCAGCAATTGATTATTGGTGATAAATTAAAATTACCTCATAGAATTCATGTTTAAATGAACGAATCAAAATTGATTATTAAGATTATTTTTAAGCGAAAATCGGTGCAAAAAAAAATTTGAAAACATTAATAAGTGTAGAAACAGCATAGTTAAAATATTTTACTTTTAGTTTGATTTTAAATTCTCAACGTTTCGAACGTTACAGCGTTCATAGTCTCGGAACAGACAATGTTGAATTTCAAACTAAGAAAAAAATTCAAAGCAAGCCTAGGAATTACATAAAACTTGAAAAAATATTTCACCGTAAACAGAACGGTGTAAATGATATAGATTACAAAGCGATTGCAATTATTTTACAGGTAAAAACGACAAAACCAAAGTAACCGTCAAACTCTGTACCAATTCTGAGGGAGCTCCAGGTAGAGAACCGATCATGAGCGAAGATGAGAGGAAGCAGCTGATGCTACACGCATACCGGAAGCAGGAGGAGTGGAAGAAACTGGAGCAAGACGATGACGACAGCTATTTGGACTCGAAGTGGGCTGACGGGAGGAATCTGAAGAGGCAGTTCCACGGTTTGAACGACATCGCATGGAGACCAGGAAAGAAATGAGCTGATAATGAGAATTAAAACATACCGCTGATGTCTTAAGATTCATTTGAATGCGATAATTCTTTATTTTATTTGTTAGAAATATGATCTGGACAACGAAGTAAAGTTAAAAAGCTTATCTGATAAATGTATAATTATGATTTTGCAAAGGGTTTAAAATATTACAAAAATCCAGGGCTTGAACGATATCGCTTGGAAACTGGGTATGAAATGAAAAGATGATAATGAAATTTGAGTCATATAATTACTCCATTTTAAGATTCATTAAAATGCGATAACCATTTAATTTGCTTGGAATATGTATGTGGGTGTGGACTTCAAAATAAATGTTTAAAATGATAAATATTTATTTATTTGAAAAAATATATGTGTTTGCCTAAAGTGCTTAAAATAATGTGAAAAGCTCCTTTGTTTTACGTTCATATAATAGGCAACGTGCTAATGGATTAAACAATACTGTATAAAATATTTCTATTGGACATTGGAATAAGCTTTTAAACATCAGTAATATGAATATATGAGGTGTTTCATTCGTCTCCGTAGTGGGAGTGAATAGAGTACATTAATACAATAGTGTCTGCAAAAAAAAATGGAGAAATGGTTTTTTAAAGTAGTTTACTTTTTGTTACGTTTAATAATGTATTCTTTTTTTTATTAATTCCAGTAGGTACCTAAATCAGCCTGTAACTTCTGCTAGCGACAATGGATTCCACAAAGTAGTTGTGAGTGGCAGAATGATTAAAAGCAGTTGTTTCGAGTTTTCATTATTAGTTATAAAGGAAAGTTTGCAAGTCTTTCGCATAAATGAGTTTAAAATAAAATATATTTCATAGCAATATTTGAAAAACACGAAAATAAGATTTCAAAATCACAGTCTAATAATGATTTCATGTAATAAGATTTTCCCGTCAGTGTCTCGGAATATGATGGACGACGTGGGATGAAGGAACACATGAAAGAAATCGTAAGAATGATGCATGGCTTCAGTGATTTAGAATTCTACATTACACACAGTCACAAGGAACCAAATGTAACAGTAAAAATAATAATCCCTGTTGACTTCTGTTTTTGGGCACACAAATAAATTAAAGGATAATTATTTGAGGTATGAATTTATTTCATTACTAATAATCTGTAATTGTTTTGATGCGTCAATCAAAATTAATATAAGCTAAGTACGTCTACTTGCACAAAATGTCGCAACATACAGACTTTCAAAGTTATGCATAATTAAATATATCAGTATAAAACAAATTCGTCCCACTGTCTGTCTGTCCCTATGTAATCTTCAAAAACTTTCCGACCTGAATTATAAAAACAGTGATGAAAGATAAGGTAGTTACAAAAAATAGATAAGAATTTGTAAACAAATGTGTGGTACGTTTTAATTAAGCCGTTATTATCTATATTCGAAATATAAATGATGTATTACTAAGGTCTATGACATAGTGGCAGATTGATTAAATTCCATAGCTATAATTACTTTTAACTATTTATAATTACGGTTTATTTTTACGGTGGTAGGCCACGCAGCAGCCTCGGCTGTTGCACGAATGGGCAGGCTCGTCCGGGTAAGTACCACGACCTCACAGAAGACCGGGGTAAAGTGGAAGTATATTACTTTAGCGTTTCGTCTGGTGAGTGAGGTGGCCGAAGCTCTATTTTCAAAAAGGTTGTCAACGCAGATGTCCATGGGCGGCGGTATTCACTTAACATCAGGTGAACCGTCTGCTCGCTTGGCAACTTTTCACATAAAAAGAAATATATATATATATATATATATATATATATATATATATATATATATATATATATAGAACATAAATATATATATATATATATATATATATATATATGAAACATTAAATTTACACATGATCATATATCATATGTACACAAATATAAGGCTGTTAGTTTCAACGTCAGGGGTCGTGAATTCGATTCTCACACGGTACTAGTAGTTGTGTAGCCAGTTTCGGGATGTGGATGATTGTCACTAGGAGATTTGCAACTTTATTCTACAGGCAACGTGGTCGTGTGTCAGTACATACGGGAGTCTCTGTCATTGATCATGCAGCGCTAATAACGATGTATCACGCCACGTGGCCTTGGGAAGAATTGCTGCCTTTGTGAAATTTGAGATAGTGCGGAGAGTAAAGACATTTAAATTGCGGTCTCCACTTTTCATCGCACTCATCATGTACGCTTCTGTGTAATGTAACCATTTTTGTTTGAGATAAGTAAACTGTCAGTTATAAGTGTGGAAGAAGTAGGCGCAAAGATTTTTAGGTCTAAAAAAGGATAAATACTATTCCATTAATATCCGAAAATTTGACCATAACACGTGTTACTTTTATAGTAAAACTAGCTGGTGCCTTTTTTATGTGAGAAAGTGGCAAACGAGCTGGCGGTTCACCTGATGTTAAGCGATAACCGCCACCCGTGGAAATTTGCAACAACCGTAGGGTTGCAGTTGCGTTGCCAACTTTAAACAAAGCTAAAGAAAAAAGCCCCGGCTACCTCACTCACCAGGCGAAACGCAGAAGTGCACTTCTAATTTATGCCGGTCTTCTGTGTCTGTGAGATCATGGTACTTACCCGGACGGACCTGCCGATTCGTGCAACAGTGAACACTGTTGCAGGAATCGGCAGGTCCGTCCTACCACAGTTGGCGTGGTGCGCTTCCTTAATTCCTAAATGATAAAAATCACCGGCACGAGCGCCACCTATCCGGTACTAACGTAACTATGTTCGTCGGAATGGTCATGTCGCCCTTTATATATGTGCTGAATTTCATATCAGTTGGGCTAACGGTTGTCGACTTTTAGGTGAACATACGTACACACATTTTCTTTTTTATATATATACTAGCTGTGCCTGCGACTTCGTCAGCGTGGAATTTAAAATAAAAAAAAAATTAAAGTAGCCTAAGTTACTCTTTATTATATCAGCTATCTATCTACCAGTGAAAGTTCCGTCCAAATCGGCCCAGCCGTTTCAAATATTAGCCGGAACAAACAGACAGACAGACAAAAATTGTAAAAAATGATATTTTGGTATACGTACCGTGTAAACATCCATATGCATTTAGTAAAAAGCGGTTATTTTAATATTACAAACAGACACTCCAACTTTATTTATCGGTATAGATGACTATAGTATACGACTTTTTGAAGAGTCGAAATTTTCACAGGCCAACCATATTAACAGTACTCGTAGCGACGACTATTTCCCTGTCAAACCTATTAACATATGAAACATTTTCTAGAGCGCTCCCCAAATGGCATCATCATTTCGCAACCAAAATGCATAAGCGCAATAAACGTGAAATACACGCAAATAACATATGAAATACTATAAGATTCCTTTTAATAGAAAGCACCTTTTCACGGAGTCAGAGTCCCGGTTTAATATTACGCACGTAATTCTTACGTTTATGTCGCGCGTGTTTGAAAAATCTCAACTTTATGAATGTTTTAAAGGCATTCCATCGTTAGGACTGGAGATTGAACTTATCTTGCCTGTTACTTAGATTTTATATAAATAGTTTAAATGGTGGTTCGTTGGTGTATGATAAACAAACTGGCGACCAACCCCCTCTTCTCACGGTTAGCAGAGCATACGTCTAGGGCCAATACAACGGCGTATTTTATTCGCATGGTGTGATATTTTCTAACATCTTCAAAAACTATTGTCGTGTTTCAGCCAATTCATACTAAATCATACATTTAAAATTTCGTCATAAATTAAAACAAAATAATTTCGTGTTAGCTGAATGTGCAGGCACTATGTTTTAATTCAATATACGAGCAGCCTGAGTTCAGTTCCCGGGGCCGGCATCAATGAAATTGTTAATTGGAATTTAAGTGTTAGTTAGGAAATCTGTGTATTTAAGAAATAATAACAATATTTCTATGACATGTGAAGTCAGTTACGGTGGTAGGGCCACGCAACAGTGTTCGCTGTTGCACGAATGGGCAGGTCCGTCCGGGTTAGTACCACGACCCCACAGAAGACCGACGTAAAGTAGAAGTGTTGCACTTCTGCGTTTCGTATGGTGAGTGAGGTAGCCGGGGCCCACATTATTAAGAGGTGGCAACGCATCTGCAACCCTACGGGTGTTGCAAATGTCTATGGGCAGGCGATTATCACTTAATATCAGGTGAACCGCCAGCTCGTTTGCCACTTTCTCACATAAAAAATAAATCCGCTAATCACTAGTGGGGTCGCGTGGTGGCCTGTGCCTTAATACCCTCCATGCAGAGAAGGCCTTTGCAACTGCTGGAGTAGGACATATATCGGCTGTTACATTACTTTAATTCCGAAGTCTCATCAGCATTTTATTACTTTATCATTTTCATACAGACAGGAAGACGTGGCGGGACGACTGTTCGATAATTATATTCTATACTATTGAAAGTACTGGCATTTGTATGGTCTACAAATAATTTTTCGGTTTGCTGATCTTAAACAATGATTGCTGCAAAAGCAGCAATTTCATGGCTTCTCGCAATTACAACAGTGTGTTGTCCTAGAGGATATCTCTTCGGAATAATAATTGACTACTACACGAGATGGGGGCTTAAGTGTAACATAGAGAAAACAGAATGTTATCATGTTCTCTAAAAAGAAAAAATACCGACCTACAGTGAAACTGAAACAACAAACGTTGCGCTATCAAAAACAGATCAGATATCTCGGTGTCATTTTCGATAAACATATGAAAATGAACCAGCACACCGAAAAGGTCATCAAAAAACTAAAGTCAGAGGAGCCCTCGGCCCAATAATAGGATACAATGCGAAGACCGAACTAGACACGAAACTGGCCATCATACAGGCCTGTATCTTACCGCTGATGGACTACGGAGTAGTGCAACTTCTCTCTAGGTATAGCGCAACAAACTTAAGTAAAATTGAACGCCAATACAGAATGGCGCTGAAAACGGCTGCACAACTACCAAGACGAACACCCACGGAAGCGGTCTGGGAGATGGC